ATCCTTGAAAAACCTTCGGTGCCGGAAGGATTTCGCAATCGAGTTTCCGAAAAACATACAAAAACACATGGTTTCGCAACACTGATTTGCTAAAAAAGCTTCCGCACGAGCTCTTGCGAAATCTCAAGAAAACCATTGGTTTTTCAAGATTTTCACAAAATGCTATGAAACGGGCTTCTCGCAGGCGCATGTCGAAATCTGTCGAACGCCCTTGCGCGTGTGCCGTCGCGAGAATCCTCTGCAAAAAATGCGACGAAGTGCAGACGCGCGCGTCGTCGCGCGCGTATGCCGAAATCCTTCAAAACCCATCGGTTTCGAAAGGATTTCAAAATCGTGTGTCCAAAAATCTACAAAAACACAAGGTTTCGCAACACGGATTTTCAACAAAAGCGTGTGCGCGCGCTCTTGCGTCGTCGTCGTCGTCGTCGCCGTCCTCCCTCCTCCCGCGTCGTCGTCGTCGTCGCCTACGTCGTCCTGTGTCTTTCCTCGTGTTCGTCGTCGTCGTCCTCGTTGGCGTCGTGGTCGTTTCCGTCGTCGTTGTCGCCGTGGTCGTCCTTCCTCCTCCTCCCTCGTCGTCGTCGTCGTCGTCCGTCGTCGGCGTCTCGTCGTCGTCCCTCCTATTTCGTCGCCGTCGTCCTCGTCGTCGTCGTCGTCGTCGTTGTCGTCGTCGTCTTCCTTCCTCCCTCGTCGTTGTCGTCGTCGGCGTCGCCGTCCTTCCTCCTTCTTCGTCGTTCGCGTCGTCGCCGTCCTCCCTCCTCCCTCGTCGTTGTCGTCGTTGTCGTCGTTGTCGCCGTCGTCGTCCTCCCTCCTCCCTCGTCGTCGTCTTCGTTGGCGACGTCGTTGCCGTCGTCGTCGTTGTCGTCGTCGTCGTCGTCGTCGGCGTCGTCGTCGTCGGCGACGTCGTCGTCGTTGTCATCGTCGTCGTCGTCGGCGTCGTCGTCGTCGTCGGTGTCGTCGAAGTCGTTGGAGACGTCGTCGGTGTCGTCGTCGTCGGTGTCGGCTGCGCCGTCGTCGTCGTTGTCGCTGTCGTCGTCGGCGTCGGTGTCTTGGCCAAGTGCCATCTGGTACCTACCGTCACGATCTTGTCTTAAGAGGTCTTGCGACCAAGTTGCGGGTGGGAGGGCGGGATGTTTGCACGAGCAGTGGAGAGGACAGCTTCAAGACTGTCAAAGTGACTAAAAAGGGAATGGACTCTACCCCCCCCGGCGTTATCGGCACCCCTTTCGGATATGTAAATCACATGTGATTATGATTACATGTCCATCCTAAATATGAAATCACAATGTCCCAGGCCAACTGGGTTCCCCCCCTGAGGTTCTCTGGTAAAAAACATTATGCGGTGACATTTGTTGTTCTAACATGGCACTTTTTCACGAATCCATTGCAAAAAAAGGGACGAAGTGCACACGCGCGCGTCGTCGCGCGCGCATGCCGAAATCCTTTAAAGCCTTCGGTGCCGAAATCCTTCAAACACAGAGTTTCGTAACACTGATTTGCTATAAAAAAGCTTCTGCGCGAGCTCTTGCGAAATCTTAAGAAAAACATTGGTTTTCAAGATTTTCGCAACATGCTACCAAACGGGCGTCGCGCGCGCGGGTGTCGAAATCTGTCGAACGCCCTTGCGCGTGTGCCGTCGCGAGAATCCTCTGCAAAAAATGGGACGAAGTGCAGACGCGCGCGTCGTCGCGCGCGTACGCCGACATCCTTCAAAACCCATCGGTTTCGGAAGGAATTCAAAATCGCGCGTCCAAAAAACCTACAAAAACACAAGGTTTCGCAAGTCGGATTTTCAACAAAAGCTTGCGCGCGCGCTCTTGCGGCGTTGTCGTCGTCGTCGTCGTCGTCGCCGTCCTCCCTCCTCCCGCGTCGTCGTCGTCGTCGCCTACGTCGTCCTGTGTCTTTCCTCGTGTTCGTCGTCGTCGTCCTCTTTGGCGTCGTGGTCGTTTCCGTCGTCGTTGTCGCCGTGGTCGTCCTTCCTCCTCCTCCTCGTCGTCGTCGTCGTCGTAGTCCGTCGTCGGCGTCTCATCGTCGTCCCTATTTCGTCGCCGTCGTCGTCGTCGTTGTCGTCGTCGTCTCGTCGTCGTCTTCCCTCCTCCCTCGTCGTTGTCGTCGTCGGCGTCGCCGTCCTTCCTCCTTCTTCGTCGTTTGCGTCGTCGCCGTCCTCCCTCCTCCCTCGTTGTCGTCGTTGTCGTCGTTGTCGCCTTCGTCGTCTTCCCTCCTCCCTCGTCGTCGTCTTCGTTGGCGACGTCGTCGTCGTCTTCGTCGTCGTCGTCGGCGTTGGCGTCGGCGTCTTCGTCGTCGTCGACATCGGCGTCGTCGTCGTCGCCGCCGTCGTCGTCGTCGTCGTCGTCGTCGGCCGTCTATCTTCTCCGGCCTTCTTGGGGCGCTCTCGAGACGCCCCCGAGGGCTCCAAGACGACCCCGGAGCGATATCTGTGCTCGGTCCCGCATGGGTTTTGCAAACCAAGTTGCGGGTTGGTGGGTGGGATGATTGCGCGAGCAGTGGAGTTGACAATTTCAAGTTCGGCAAGTGAGTTGCACCATAGATTCTCTTTTCTGAAAGACTAATAGATTCTACCCCCCCCTCCCGGACTTATCGGTTACCCCGCGCGTGCTGTAAATTACATATGAATTCATACTATCCCAGCCAAGCCGGTATCCCCCCCCCTGCGGTTCCCTTGTAAAAAACACTATGCGGTGACATTTTTTGTTCTGACATAACACTTTTTCGCGAATCCCTTGCAAAACATGGGACGAAGTGCACACGCGCGCGTCGTCGCGCGCGCATGCCGAAATCCTTCAAAAACCATCGGTTTCAGAAGGATTTCAAAAATCGAGTTTCCGAAAAACATGCAAAAACACATGGTTTTGCAACACTGATTTGCTAAAACAACTTCCGCGTGAGGTCTTGCGAAATCTTAAGAAAACCATAATTTTTCTAAGATTTTCGCAACATGCTACCAAACGGGCATCGCGCGCGCGCATGTCGAAATCTGTCGAACGCCCTTGCGCGTGTGCCGTCGCGAGAATCCTCTGCAAATAATGGGACGAAGTGCACACGCGCGCGTCGTCGCGCGCGCATGCCGAAATCCTTCAAAAACCATCGGTTTCAGAAGGATTTCAAAATCGAGTTTCCGAAAAACATACAAAAACACATGGTTTCGCAACACTGATTTGCTAAACAAGCTTCCGCGTGAGGTCTTGCGAAATCTTAAGAAAACCATAGGTTTTCCAATATTTTCACAAAATGCTACCAAAAAGGCTTCGCGCGCGCGCATGTTGAAATCTGTCGAACGCCCTTGCGCGTGTGCCGTCGCGAGAATCCTCTGCAAAAAATGGGACGAAGTGTACACGCGCGCGTCGTCGCGGGCGTATGCCGAAATCCTTCAAAAACCATAGGTTTCAGAAGGATTTTAAAATCGTGCGTCCAAAAAACCTACAAGAACCCAAGGTTTCGCAACACGGATTTTCAACAAAAGCGTGCGCGCGCGCTCTTGCGTCGTCGTCGTCGTCGTCCTCTCCTCCTCCCTCGTCGTCGTCGTCGTCGTCGTCGCCGTCGTCGTCTTCTGTCTTTCCTCGTCGTCGTTGTCGTCGTCTTGGCGTCGTCGTCGTTTCCGTCGTCGTTGTCGCCGTGGTCGTCCTTCCTCCCTCGTTGTCTTCGTCGGCGTCTCGTCGTTGTCCCTCCTATTTCGTCGTCGTCGTCGTCGTCGTCGTCGTCGTGGTCTTCACTCCTCCCTCGTCGTTATCCTCCTCCCTCGTCGTCGTCGTCCGTCGTCGGCGTCTCGTCGTCGTCCTTTCATTTCGTCGCCGTCGTCGTCGTCTTCGTCGTCGTTGTCATCGTCGTCGTCTTCCCTCCTCCCTCGTCGTTGTCGTCGTCGGCGTCGCCGTCCTTCCTCCTTCTTCGTCGTTGGCGTCGTCGCCGTCTTCCCTCCTCCATCGTCGTTGTCGTCGTTGTCGCCGTCGTCGTTTTTTCTCCTCCCTCGTCGTCGTCTCCGTTGGCGACGTCGTCGTCGTCTTCGTCGTCGTCGTCGGCGTCGTTGTCGTCGTCGTCGGTGTCGTCGTCGTCGTTGTCGCCGTCGAAAACATTGGAGACGTCGTCGGTGTCGTCGCAGTCGCTGTCGGCGGCGCCGTCGTCGTCGATGTCGCTGTCGTCGTCGGCATCGGTGTCGTGGCCAAGTGCCATGTGGTACCTACCGTCACGGTCTTGTCTGAAGAGGTCTTGCGACCAAGTTGCGGGTGGGAGGGTGGGATGTTTGCACGAGCAGTGGAGAGGACAGCTTCAAGACGGTCAAGATTATATTGCACCACGTAGATTGCACAACGTAGGCTGCACCGCACATATTGCACCACGTAATTCGCACAACAAAGATAGCTAGAAACACACTGATTGGCGCCCACGCTGGTTAACATCTGCATGTGCTTGTCTTATATATCGTTTAACCTAGCTCCGCTCTTGATTGCATCTCTGCTTTGTTTCTGACTGCTCAATGCTGCTCTCCTATCTTTGATGCGTACCCGAAGCTTTCATTCATATGCTCTTTTAGTGATTGTTGTTGTAAGGACTCGGGCATTTGGCCGCAACCAAGATATCGAAAGCATGTAACTTTGACAGTAATTGGAACTTGGAAACCCTGGAGCCCAGGAAACCCTGGAGCCCGGACCCACACTGAAATTGGCCCGGCAGCCAGAACTGGAACCCGGGAGCTCGGCTGCCTACGCAAATCGCCCCAGTACTGCCACTGAATCCCAGAACGCGGCACTTTCGAATCCAGCCGCACACTTTCATGTTTTTTAGTATTTTCGCGTAGTTTTTCTATTTTTAGTAATACGTTTTCAGTGCAAGCATTGATTGAGGAATATCCTGTACACTTCGAGCCTCGAGCACCGCCCCACTGAAGCATCGGATAAAAAAACGCCTTCCTCTTGTCTTTGGAATCCAAAGGCGGGCCGAAGCCCCACCGCCTTTCACTGCCTTCCTGCTTATCATGCTCCGGCCAGCAGGATCGTCGCCGTCGCGCATGAAGAGTAACGAGAGCTCCCCATCTCACGTGCGGAGGCAGAAGTTCGCCGCCCGTCGCGGGAATTCCGCCTTCCAGTCAATGTATTCGGTGACCTCGGGCGTTGTCACGCAGCATTCGCAGAGGGCGCGCTTTGCTTCCCAGAAGAGCATGGCGTCCGTAACGAAGCAGTTCAGCAAGATCATGCCCCATTTGGTCGAGATCAACCGGCCAGAGGTTGCCCCAGGGCTGATCCTGTCCACGGTTTGGATCATCATGGTGTCCGCGATGCTCGTCGTTTTCATTTGGCAGTTCGAGCACGAGGACACCCGGGTTGCCTTGCTGGAGGTACAGATCAATCCGAGCTAACAGAAAAACATGGGCCAGTGCCTCTCTTTGTGCAGGGTTTGAGGGCTTCTCGAGGCTATTAAGTACATCGTTTGCAAACACACCCAATATCCTCGATCCTCGATCCTCTTCGCTCCCCCTCCTCCTCCCCAGTCCGGAGGGGGCAGAAACTATGGTTCAGCCACCTGCGAACCCTCCCCCCGCGGGTGCAGTCGACGCTGTGTTTTTTTGTCGGAGGTCCCGGGGCCAAAGTAGCTTGGCGAAGGACCCAACCATATGCAGTTGTGAGCGCCGTAGCTGGGAATATCGCCTTCGGTGAAGTTCCCGATAACGGGACGAAACATATGAGAGATGAGCCGCAGTAGGGGTGCAACTGCATGCGAATCCTGCAACTGGGGCCCCAGGAGGGGTGCGCCGAATTGGGGGTTGACCTGCATGCGAACTTTCCCACTGGGGCCTGCGGTGGGGATCCCTATGGGGCCACGAACCGTCTGAGGGGTGCGACGAAATTGGTGTTGGACCTGCATGCGAACTTTCCCATTGAGGCCTTCGGTGAAGCCCTCTGTGGGGCCACGAACCGTGTGAGGTGTACGCCGAAATGGGGTGTGGAATTGCATGCGAACTTTCCCACTGGCGCCTTCGGTGGGGCTCCCTATAAGGCCACGAATCGTGTGAGTGGTGCGCCGAAATGGGGGGTGGAACTGCATGCGAACTTTACCCGCATGGTATTTTTTATACGGATCGCGCCCCCAGCACGCGCAAACGGGCGTTCGAATGATTTCAGCATGCGGCACGAGAGGCCTGCAACGATCGTGTTCTTAAGAATTCGCAAGAGCGCGAGCGCAGACTCGTTTGAAAAGTAGCCTGGCGAAGGACCCAACCATACGTAGTTGTGAACACCGTCTTTGTTAATACCGCCTTCGGTGGATCTCCTTATGTGGCCACGAAGCGCGTGAAGAGTGTGCCGAAATGGGGCGGGGCCGCCATGCGGGCGCTGCTACTAGGGCCTGATGTAGAGATTCCTTTTATCAGGCCACAAAGCGTGTGAGGAATGCTTGTCCATCTACGCACTTGAAAACTCTCAACGAATTTCCACCCACTCCCGCGCTCTCCTCCCCACCAGCCAACGTGCGACCGTCCGAAAAGGCGCGCGCAAAGCGCACGCTCCAACGAGCGCCACACACACCATTTCAACCATTTCGCGAGGGTCCTGTCCTTTTACGACGCCGACCTACGTGCGACCGTCCGAAAGCGCGTGCGCAAAGCAAACACTCCGTGTCGAAGCAACGCGGGCGTGACCAAGTTAATTGCCAGCATACTTCGATCGGCGATACGGCCCGCGACGGAGGTAGAGGAGGAGCAGGGCAGAGCCTCGAGCTCCTTGTGGGCCACGAACCGTGTGAGGGGTGCGCCGAAATGGGGGTGGAACTGCATGCGAACTTTCCCAACGTGGTCTGCGGGGGGGGTCCCTAATGGGCCACGACCGTGTAAGGGGTGTGCTGAAATGGAGGGTGGATCTGCGTGCGAACTTTTCCACTGGGGCCTGCGGTGGAGCTTCCTATGGGGCACGATGTCTCGGACGGGTGCGCCGGAATGATGCATGGAGTTGTATGCGAACTTTCCCACAGAGGCCTTCGGTGGGGCTCCCTAAGAGGCCACGGACCGTTTGAGGGGTGCGCCGGCATGAGAAGTGGAACTGCATGCGAACTTACCCACTTGGGCCCTCGGTGGGGCTCCCTACGAGGCCACGAACCGTGTGAGGGGTGTGCCGGCATGAGAAGTGGAACTGCATGCGAACTTTCCCACTGGGGCCTGCGGTGGGGCTCCCTATGGGGCCACGAACCGTCTGAGGGGTGCGACGAAATTTGTGTTGGAACTGCATGCGAACTTTCCCATTGAGGCCTTCGGTGAAGCCCTCTGTGGGGCCACGAAACGTGTGAAGGGTGTGCCATGGTGATGCTGATGGTGATGATGATGATGATGATGATGATGATGATGATGATGATGATGCTGTTGCTGATGATGGTGATGCTGCTGCTGTTGCTGCTGATGATGATGGTGATGATGATGATGGTGATGATGCTGATAATGATGATGCTGATGATGATGCTGATGATGATGATGATGATGCTGATGATGGCGATGCTGATGACGATGATGATGATGGCGATGATGATGATGATGATGAGGATGAGGATGAGTATGATAATGATGATGCTGGTGGTAATGATGATGATGCTGGTGATGATGGTGACGATGATGCTGATGATGATGACGACTATGATGATTCTACAGATGGTGATGCTGAAGACGGTGAAGACGATGACGCCGATGAAGACGACGACGATTCTGATGATGCTGATGGGTCGATGATGACGCAGATGATCATGATCATGATGATCATGATGATGATAATGACGGTGATGGTGATGAACATGATGATGACGATGACGGTGGCGATGATGATGACGAGGACGATGATGATGATGATGATGATAATGATGATGGTGATTATGATGTTAATGTTCATGATGATGCTGCTGCTGCAGATGATGCTGAGGATGAAGATGAGGATGATGATGATGCAGCTCCTGATGATGATGATGGCGATGATGATGATGATGATGATGATGATGATGATGATGATGATGATGATGATGATGATGATGACGGTGGTGTTGATGATGATGGTGATGATGATTATGATGCTGATGATGATGCCGATGGTAATGATGATGATGATGATGATGATGATGATGATGATGATGATGATGATGATGATGATAATGATGATGATGATGATGATGATGATGATGATGATGATGATGATGATGATGATGATGATGATGATGATGATGCTGATGATCCCGCTCTCCCAGGGGGGCCGCTGCCGACGTGCACACTCCCCCCGCTGCTGCTACATTAGCCCCTGCTCCCCGCTCGCTCCCTCGAGCGCGACCTCTCGCGCGGCGGGAGGGGGGACGGGGCGCCGAGGTCGGCCTCCACCCCCCCTTTGGTGGGGTGGAGGCCGCGCTTCATTCTGCGGAGCCCTTCGGCCTGCCTGCTCGAGAGCGGCCGAAGCGGGCACTCGTCGCCGAGTGCCATGACCCGACGACTGCGGCAAAACCCGCCGCACACCACGCAAAAGAAGAGGTCCCTCGCCCGCCACATCTTGTGCGACGGGTGGAACCTCGCGTTCCACCAGGGGGGGCACGTTTCGCCGAGACCAGGTCCAGGCCCAGGAGGTCCCCGCGACCCGCCCGACCCCGCCCCCTGTGGCCCCCCTGGTGGCAGAACCCCCTCGCTGGGAGGGTTCTCGACCGAACTACCCTGAGCTGGAGACTGCTGCTCCTGCTGCTGCTGCTGCTGCTGCTGCTGCTGCTCCTCGTCCCCTCCTCCGCTGGCCTCCCCCCCGCTCGCTGCGGCGGCTCCTGCCACGATGCCGAGGAGCACGGCCGCGCCTGCGCCTGAGCCCTCGGTTCCCGAGGCGGGCGGGGGCGGTGGCGGCGGGGGCGGGTTGGAAAAAGCGGGGAGAGGACGGCCGCTCGCCGCGCATCCGAGGCAGCACCAGATGCGCCTCGACCCGGCAAGAGCCGACGAACCGTGCCTCTCGCACGCGCGGGCTGAGCAGCGGCCGCACGGTGCGATCGCGCGCAGGCGGCAACCGGGAGCAGCACATCTAATTAGTTGAAGGCCAGGCGCCGCGTAGCCGTCACTCGCCGTGAATCAGCTGCTGCCCTCCTGCAGCGCCAGGCCGAGCATCCTGCCCAGGCTCTCGCCCCACTCGTCGGTGATGCTCGCAGCCTCGACCAGCGCGGGGAACGTGGGGTGGATGCTGGCGCCCTGCTTGGCCCTCAAGTCGGCGAGCTTGTTGCCCCGCCGCTTCCACTCCGTGGAGGACCCGACCAGGACGTCGTACATCGTGGCGTGCCCCTTCACCTTGGTGATCTGAATGTCGTCCCTGCCGATGTCGTGGACCCGCTGCCAGAAGACTGCCCACAGGGCCCTGTTGGGCCTAGACCAGCACAGGCACCAATCCTCGCCTGCCTCCCAGCCGTCCACGAGCAGCTGCGAGTCGCTGAAGAGGTGCACGGGCGGGAGGCAGTGGGCCAGGGCCTCCACTGCTGCCAGCAACTCCCCCGAGCCCGACTCCTGGGCTAGCGGCCATGGCACTGGCCCCAGGATCGACGAGACCTCGGCGCCCGCGTGGTCCGTCGAGCAAGCTGCCCAGCCCGCTCGAGCCAGAACTCGTTCCTGGACGTGGAACGCCGAGCCGTCCAGGAAGACCTCGCCATGGAGTGGCTCGCCTGCCCTCGGCCCCGTCGTGCGCACGATGCGCGCCGTGAGCGGCAGGGGGAGGTCGCTGCGCGGGTCCTGGACCAGGCGCCGCGACCAGATGGCGTGCTCCGCGTCCGAGTCCAGCGGGCCGCCCGTGTCGTAGAAGTAGCGGATGTTGAGGTCGTCCAACTTCCACTGCCTGCGGGGGCCGTCCAGCGTGGGACAGGCCCAGACCAAGTGCCTGACTGTCCCCCTCTCCTCGCATCCAGCTGGGCAGCGCCCCGAGCTCGCGAGCGGGGGGTCTGCCAAGGCTCGGCGCTGGACGGGCCAGAGGCAGCCCGCGATGGCGTTCCTGGCCGAGGACCACCGCGAAGCGTGGGCGTGGTCGGCGTACTGCCT